TGACCACACTAATCTGACAATTCGACTTTCCGCAAATCACACCTCATACTCCCTACCTAATTTCTCCCACTTTCTTTGACAATATTCTGTCATCTGTTCTTCATACTATTATGAACAACATCAAAAGGAATACTCAAAAACATTGCAACAACATTTGGAGAAATTAATATATATAACACCGTCCGACACGATTTTTCACACACGAAAAAATCAGTGATTTTCAGAAAATAGGACCAAAAAAAAGATACCCGTGTCTGGCCGTTTTGCTAGATCAGGTCATTTTTTGCTTTAAGGGGTTATCAGCGACCCCAAAAACCTTCATGTAACAAGTTTCAAGTGAATTCGATGAACTTTTATAAATTTCGACCGCTATATTGAATCCGCCATTTTGAATTTTGAAAATCTGACATCAGATTCGTAATCAGCGACCCCAAAAACCCCTAAGTAACAACATTCAAATGAATTGGTGAATTTTTATAAATTTCGACCGCCATATTGGATCCACCATTTTGAATTTTGAAAATCTGACATCAGATTCGTAATCAGCGACCCGGAAAACCCCGAGATACCAGGTTTCATAAAAAATTATTAATTTGTACAAGATTTCCTATCACCTTTCATTTAATGGTTGTTTTTACCCCTGAAAGCAAAAAATGACCTGATCTAGCAAAACGGCCAGACACGGGTATCTTTTTTTAGTCCTAGTTTCTGAAAATCATTGATTTTTTAGTGTGTGAAAAAAAAATTTGAATTTTGTCAGACGGTGTAATCACTTGGACTTCTTCAACTTTAAACTTTCTCTACAAAATCAATTTTTACTGCAAATTCTGAATAGGATGCAAACAAGTTTTTATTTTTTTTAAATCTGAAAATATTTTTGAAACTATTCAAAATAGAGGAAACTGTTTTTTTTTGTCTTTAAAAAATATCTTCTTTCCATGTAAGAAAGTTTTATAAAAACTCTATTTTTTGAATGAAAAGTGAGTCCAAGATTAAAAATTCTTACAATAATAATAAGTTTTATGCTGAACGCATTGAGGTGCGACAATGCAATTGTTGAAAAGCGTCTTGTTAAAGTCCAACGTAATTTTGAAATTTAATTGTATTACAACAATGGACGAATGAAACGCGGCATGATGCTTTTGGCGGAAAATGGAAGATAATAAAGAATATAAAAAAAGGAACTTGACATTCAAGCAATGTACCCCTTTTTATGGAAAAAAGATGATTTCTCTTTTCTATATTTTATTATCATATTTTTTTATTCTTCTTCATTTTATGTACCCGAGATTATTTTAATTAACTTATTCTTATATAAGTTGTGTTTTAGTTTATACATAAATATTTTACATTTAAATAAGTGGAAGAAAATTAAATTCCAAAAAGAAATTGTTCCACTTTCTACTTTTTTTCTAAAAACACCTATATATTCGAATTCAAGTAATTTACAGTGGCTGCAATATGACCGCACGAACATGGCACCGCATGTGCTCACTAGTACCGTTAAAAAAATTAGAAGCTGCGGAATATTATAGAATATATATGTATATATATATATATATATATATATATATATATATATATATATAAATTAATATAAAAAAGAAATCTTTGTTACTGGGATGTAACAGTCCTCTAGAATTGTTCAATGTCCCGATTGCATATAAAATTGTTTTTGGCTGCTTTTTTAAAATATATATATTTTTTTATTCTATACGTGACGTTTTAAAAACATTCATTCTTCTTTACACTCATACTGTAAAGGTGCCTACCGCGAATTTCGATGAATTTATTTACGGAAAGCAAGAACAGTGCATAGATAAGAAGTTATGTGATTTTTTCTATTACGCGTTTATAGTGTACCGTGTAACGTGAGTAATGTTATCGGTGATACCTTCAGCTTAGTGATCTCTATTCACAGAAGGATGAATTCAGCTTCCTTGGCTGGCCATTGTCTCAATCCCAGGGCAATAATCTTCATCTCGCTATTTTGTAAACATAATCTCATCCTTAAATGTTGGAGTGGAAGTAATTACCCATTAGTAATAAAATCATCATCATGGAGAGTGGACGTACCTCTGCATCAACTGTCAACTTCGAGGATTACGAGGGAGGCCTAGCAGAGTGCTCCTTGCCGAGGTCAATCTTCGATTGGCACAAGATCCTTGTTCTGTTCTTCTTTTTGATACACGTTATGCTATTGTACTTTCATCCATTCCTTTTTGTATTATAGAACGTTTAGTCTTGAAGGTTGAAAGTTCTTGAATTACAGCTTTAGCGTAGAACGGTTTTTTATACAACTTTCGATTGATGATTTTTTCTTTTTACTTTCTTTTTCCTGTGCCGTCTATTTTTTGGAATTATCAACAATGGGGAATTGTATGGTGAATTCGAATTCATTATTGCTCCTTCAAATTTCATTTTAGTGATTATTCGTTCTTTTTCTTCATTTTGAGAAGGTGAAAATGGATATTGTCTGGTATAAATAGGTATACCATCGGTTGTATGAATCCTGTGTTAAACCAAGGGAGTTGCTGTTAATAATTCACCTGTTAAATGGAAAATATCCTGATATTTGTTCACTATTTTTAAAACGTGGTTTTGTTCTACCTCGTTGAGATGAGAGAGACGTAAACATTTCACTACTGCTTGATATCTGTTGGCGGTATTGTCAAATTTATATCTTTCTCAGTAGTATTTATTGCATACACGTGGCAATGTCCATTGGAGTTGGTTACAACTGATTCGCCTATAAATACTCCATCTTGAGTTTTCATAAAAGGTAAATATTCTTCCTTAAGACTATCAATTAAAATTTTGACAGGCATTACTTGACGTGATCTAGATTTAACTGTTGAAGTTTGAGGTTCTTGTTTTATTCTGGGTGTTAATTTCTTATAGTTTTTTAGTGATTTTTCGTCAATAAATGGAATTGGATTTACAGAATTTGAGCACATAACTATGGTGTGGTGCCAAAAGGATATTTGAACTTTTTCTTGACGTAAATATTCCCTACCTAAAATACAATTAACATCTATAATTAAATGTGGTGAAACAACATGCATTTGTACTTCAACGTCACCTAATGGTATCATCGTGGTTCCTAATGTACTGATTTTGGATTGTGGTATTCTAGTTAGTTCAATGGCATTACCTTCCATTACTATGACGTCATCTTCCAACAAATTTAATTTAATAATGTTAACATCTACTCCTGTATCTATAAGAAAATATCCCTCTTTATTTTTTATATAAGAGGAAGTAATTCTTATCACTGGTGATTCACTGTTGAATCTTGTTTGTCGGATTCGCGTTTCAACAGAACTCGAACACTTGTTTGACGCTCGGTTTTCTCTTCGCTCGTCGTCGCGTTCGAACGGCGAGCACTGTTGTAGTTTAAAGTATTGTTTGTCCTAGGTAGTACAGGTGATTAAATGCGTTTGAAAAAAATATTCCTGAAATTTACACATTTTTTGACTTTCTATAAAGTAGGCGCCCCCTTAAGATGTTCCTCTTTTTAAGGCAGCTTTGCTGAATTTACGCAATGCAATTTCCATTCCAATTACTAGCGCTGATTTTAAGAGCATTTGAACCTTCGTGACGTCACAAATCATGGCGCATGACACGCAAACTTCTCAGGTATCTGAAAAGCACAATTTTAAATATTTTTTAAAAAAACCTTTTGGAAAATGTTCAGAATAACATAGACTCTGTCTGTCATGTGCGGAAAATTCAAAATTTTGCGTTTAAAACGTTTTTTAAACAATTTGAAGGTCACAAATCATGGCGCATGACACGCAAACTTCTCAGGTATGTGAAAAGCACAATTTTGAATATTTTTTAAAAAAACCTTTTGGAAAATATTCAGAATAACACAGACTCTGTCTGTTATGTGCGAAAAATTCAAAATTTTGCGTTTAAAACGTTTTTTAAACAATGCCTACATATAAGCAATTCGTGTATTTTTCCTTACTTGTGACAACCAACTTAAACATTGTTTAAAAAACGTTTTATACGCAAAATTTTGAATTTTCCGCACATAACAGACAGAGTCTGTGTTATTCTGAATATTTTCCAAAAGGTTTTTTTAAAAAATATTCAAAATTGTGTTTTTCACATACCTGAGAAGTTTGCGTGTCATGCGCCATGATTTGTGACCTTAACATTGTTTAAAAAACGTTTTAAACGCAAAATTTTGAATTTTCCGCACATAACAGACAGAGTCTATGTTATTCTGAACATTTTCCAAAAGGTTTTTTAAAAAATATTCAAAATTGTGCTTTTCACATACCTGAGAAGTTTGCGTGTCATGCGCCATGATTTGTGACGTCACGAAGGTTCAAATGCTCTTAAGACTCATCTTAAAATAGGATATTCTTTTTGCTAATAAAAAATTATCATTATTAGTTGATTATTAAAAAACTGTCCATCACGTATTTAGTATTTTGTATGTATTCACAATTTCATTGATCTTTCATTGAATAGTACCCGTGTATATAATATTTGCTAGATTGCAATACAGGTACATATTTAGGTAGATTAAACGATATTATTATTTAACTATAGTAACTAAATTACATATTTTATAAAAAAAATTATGTACATTACTATAAAAATTAAAAAAAATTGTTTAACGTAATTTTTCATAATTTTTTAAAAGAAATTTCAATATTTATCTGCATAAAAAGTACAGAGGTACCCGGGTACCTTGTCTGCGTTTAAAGGGTGAAGAAACTTTGTTTATTATTTCCGAATAAATAAATAAAAAAGGTACATTATAAATAATATTAAAACACTTTATATGGATAAATTTGAGAAGTCAAAAAACCTTAAATCGGTACGATTTTAAAAATTACGAAAAAAACCAATTTGAAAATGCAAAAGTTACCCGGGTACCTCGTCAGTCCCATAAAGCTTAAAGATGACATCAAATCAAGAAACTATACGGAATAAAATATTTCTGTGTCAAATAGGATATTGTAAAAAATTTAAAAACTAAATACAGTTATATATGAAATATATTTAAAAGTACAATTATATTACACATTTACAATTTATTCTTATTTTCTATAATTTCTGAAGTATTGTCTAAGAGTTTTTGAAAAAATTTCGAAAATTCTTCATCTGAATTGAGGGTCTTTATTTCTACTTGTTCATTGGTTCGAATTTCTTTTATTATTTCCAATTTTAAATTTTGCTTTGTTTCAAATCTTTTTCTGACCTTAATTCCTCCTCGTCTTTTAATTTTAAAAATGTTGATTTCTGGAATGTCACTCATTTTCTGTAGAAAAATAATAAAATATTACATAAACAAATATTTAACTATTTTTAAAAATTTTATTTTATTTTAGGAATTTTAGAGAATTAAGGAAAGAATTTTTTCAATTCTACCTTGACAGGTGTGCCGGGCGGCACTAAGTGTCAATGACGAATCTGTCATGTTCCGGGCGGCACAATTGAACAGGTTCTAGTAAAATATGTTTTATTAATTTTTAACAATTCAAGAAAATCCAATTAACCGGAAATACAATGTGCCGTTAGACACCAAAGCAGCAAAAGGCGAGGTTAAATTTAATATTTAGATCTATTTTAAAATTTTGGAGGAGCTCTTTTTTAGCTCTGTATTTTTTTGTGTATACAAGGCAGATCTTCTTTATTTTAATTATTTAACAAACATTTAACTAAAATTCTTCTTTAATTATTTTTAATAATTTTAATGAAATTCTTCACAAATTCAATTATCTTAAAATATTTTTCAATAAAAAAGTTTTTAAAACTCAATAATTTAAAAAAAATTTTAAAAAACCACAAAATAAAATTACCAAACATTTCAATTCAAAATCACTTGAAATTCAATTATTTTCAAAATTTTCAATTTAAAACCTTCTAAAATATAAATATACTCAAAAAACTGAAATTTTTTTGTTTTTTTATTGAGATTTAGCCAGGCCTAGAACTTATACTGCTTGACCGATTTGTTTGATACTCAGTGATATTGTTTGTTAGGTTGACGTCTTGATATGTGTTTGAGGGACTTTTGTTAGATTAAATATTTTTTCAAAAGTTTTAATTTTTTATACAAAAAAATGCACTTTATGAGATTTAGCCAGACCTAAAGTAAATACTATACTGGTGCGATTTGTTGGATACTCAGTGATAGTGTTTGTTGGGTTAAAATCTTCATATATGATTAATAAAAATTTGATTGCTCTCCGTTATTAATTGACAAAATTATACATATTTAAAAAATTTTTTTAAACATTTAAACACACAGATACCACTAGATATCAAATTTTCATAAATAGTTAAAAATCAAATACCTAATATTTCTTTTAATTTTTATGACAATTTTGAGATAATTGAAATCCTCAGGACAAATTTTTTTATTGGTTACTTAAGGGTTTTCAAGGTCGCTGATTTTTTTTAATTATTGCAGAAAAGGAATGAGATTTCTATCTTGACAGGAGTGCCATGCGGCACCAAATATCAATGCCAAATATGTCATGTAACGAATGGCACAAATGAACAAATTCTAGTAGAATATATTTATATATTTTAATATTTTTATCAATTCAAAAAAATTCAATTGATAAGTGTTCCGAGCGGCACCAAATAACAAAACAAGAAATACAATGTGCCAGTCGGCACTAAAGCAGTTCTCGCTTAGTCTTCTTAAATTTGTCAAAATTATCAAGGATATTATTAAGAATTAAAGAGTATCAGACAATTGAGCCTGGCGAAACCAAATATCGTATCGTAATTCATGATCTTAAATTTAGAGATTATGTTTTCAGGTGTCAACTAATGTTATATTGAAAATACAAGCGAATGATAAGTTATTTTTATAGTTACCTTCTGCCTTATACTTCTTTAGCTGTACTTTGTCTGTAATATAAATTTTGACCATTTATATACCTGCTGACAGCAGGTATATAATACAGTAAAATAATAAAAAAAACCGCTATTAAGTTAAGACATAAATTTTTTGTATTCATTTCATGTTCACTTTGCTTCTGCATACAGATATGGAGAATAGATGCAGTATATTAAAACTTTAGATTAAAATTTAATACCTAAGCTACATCAAAAGTCACGTTTTTACGAGGGGCTGTTCACTGAAAATCCAATTGAACAATATTTGAGAATTCATTAAAGATTTTTAATGATTGCTAGTCATTTTTGTAATTCCTATTTTGAAATTCAGGGAAATAGTGCTTTCATTTTATTTGAAGTAATTACTTGCAAGAGTAAGATTGCAAGAAAAATAAATTAATTGTATAATTCGCCGCCGAATTCGCTCGTATGTCTCCGTAACCATTCGTGACTCGCAACAATTCTTACTGCATGATTTAGAATTTTACTGGAATCGACGAGATTCGTTTGGATTCGCATAGTATTCGACAAATTCGAACGTCCTTTTCAATAATCGTCGGTAATCTCCAATTAAAATACAATATATTCAGAATCCAGAAATTTACATTTTCTTATGTTAATTGATGAATATTCGGAAGATACCTAGTATATTCTCTACATTACAAATCGGGTATTCGAGAGTGAACAGCCCCTCGCGTTTTTACATATTTTTATTTCGAAAATTTATATACTGCTGATCACAAGTACATAATATTGCAATACAGTCAACCATCTCAGTTAACCCCCTCTCAGTAAAGCCGCTTCCCCAGTTTGTCGAGCGAGCTTTTTCCCTACTACCCAAGTAGAAATGTGCCACTGGAATAGTACTGACCCAACACTGCCAGTCAGTATAACAGTACTGGGCCAGTAGTGGACCAACCCTGGCAGGTAACGCTGTCCAGTACTGATTTTGTCCTGCTCACCAGTAGGGGAGACCGAGGAGGAAAGTAACAGAGGAGGAAAGTAACAAAGCTTATAACTTTTAAACAAATTATCGGATAGACATGGTTCAAACATATTTTTAGTCGGCACTGTTCCCCCTTCCTCCTCCATAGTGTGTCCGAGCCTGACAGAAAAGGCTAGGTCTGATTCCGGTGTGACGTGCAGAAAAAACGTCAAAAGTAAGTTTTCGTTCAAATTTTCAAAGTCTCGTATTTCTTTAATTTTATTGTTTTTCAAAATGTGCCTTTCGTTATTTTATAGCCTTATTATCTGTCTTTAAGTTGTGCTTAAACAAACAATTTAACATTTGTGTAGTTTTAACTTTTTTGTTGACATACAAGAAAAAAGCGACCGAGGAGGAAAGTAACACGCTACTTTTCTCCTGTTGTCGATATTGTCCATGTTTTAACTAATGATTGAAGCAAATCGTATTTAATTTTACGAATAACAGAGATTTATTTAAGAAAAACCTATAAAATATCTTTAAGAAAAAAAATGAGCTAAATTCATAAAATGTTCGAAATATGTGCTAAATATGTCCCAAATATGTGCCAAATAAGTATAAAGTGTACTTAAACTTTCATGTGTTCCTAATAAAAATATTTCTAATTAATAATAGTCATTAGTCTAAAGAATTTTACATAATTTTATACTGTTACTTTCCTCCTAGGAGCTTGTTACTTTCCTCCTAAGAGCTTGTTACTTTCCTCCTCGGGGGTGAGGAGGAAAGTAACAGATGAAGAGCTTGCGTAAAAGTTATACTGTGAACTGTCAATTTATTATAAATGTTTAATTCAAATTTTATTTAAAAGGTGAATGTCCAAGCTTTCATTTAATATATTGGACAAATTTATCCGACAAATATTTTTAATGTTAGCATAAAAAAACTGATTTTTGTTACTTTCCTCCTCGGTCTCCCCTACTAACGTAGTACTAGAATAATACTGGCATAATACTGGCAAAGTACTCATCCGGACTTAAAATCTCACTTTTTTACAAAATGCTAAAACACGCTTTCCAATGCAAATTTCATCCTTATTAGCTTATTACTCCCATTTTTACCACGAACAGGTAATGTGAAGCCAATAATAGTTAATGTTATTTAGAATATATAAAATATTATTAACAATAAATAATTAAAATAATAATTATCATTTATATTAATTAAATTATTTTATTTTTAATAAATTATTTTACAAAAAATAATTTGTGTTGTAAATTTTTTTATTTTTTTAAATTCATAATATTTAATTTTTTTTACTTTGCACTTATACTTAATTTAATAATTATTTAATAATTGATATTACACATGAACAAATATTGTACTTATAACACTTAAAACTAAGAACGAAAAATCTCGCACGCACGGGGGATCGAACCCTAAACCCTTAGAACGCAAGTCAGATACGCATACCGCACAGCCGCGCTGGCTTGAAGTGCTGACTTGAAGTAGTTCACCTAATACAAAAGTTTTGATTTCAAAGTTTGTATTATCTATTGATCACGAAAATAAAATGAATTTATTCTTAAATTTTTTAAATCCACAAAATTTTTTCAATTTTTACAAAGATTTAATGAAATAAAACTGGATATCAATTTCAGTTAAATATTTTTAATAAATTATTTTTACCGTAAATAATATTAAAACAGACAAAAATGATTGATGAATTACATAATTAAAAATAAGTTAATAAAAGACGACTGTAAAATATGAATGGTAAAAAATTTTTTAAATTTAATATTTAATTATTAATAATATTTAAAAATTACAGTGAAAAAATTACATTTGCTTTATTTTTAAAACTATTAGAAAAAAATTCTCAACTTATTGTTATTGTATGCATGATAAATAACTTAATGCACATATTTCAATGAGTACTAAAATAACTAAAAAAACATAAATATATTTTATATAGGTATATAATAATACATTACAATTACATCCAAAATTTTGAGGGAAAGTATTCGAAAGAAATTAATATACATTTTTTTAAATAAAAAATCATCGTTTTCTACCTATTGAAATAATTTAAAGACTTTTTCATTTAATGTTTTTTATCACCGACATAGTACTGATTCGGTGTGAATGACAGTGTACTGCCAGTACTGGTTTTAATATTTTTTACCTCCGACATAGTACTGATTCGGTGTATTAGTCAGTACACTGCCAGTACTGAAAGTCAATACCGACAGCCAGTATTGGATCAGTACCATGCCGGTGTTTAATTACGGCGAGCTACGGATATTTTTACTTGGGTACTATTGGTTTATGAATGGTTCACTTTTTCATGTGTATGATGCTGAAGTACGCAACCCCCTAAAGTATCACATGGTGTATGGGATGACCCCTTACTAATATTATAATTTTTTATTGATTTTAGTCTTTTTATTTTAGAATAACTATGAAGAGTTGTCGAAATAAAGTCTAGAATGTGATTGTTAGGGTTTGGTGATGATAGAAGGGATGTTTTTTAGAAATATATCAATAAAAGACAAAATTTCAGAAGTTTAGCAATATAGAAAACAAAAAAAAATATATTTGTAGTGACTGAAGATGTAGATACAAGTTTTCATAAAGAATGGACATATAATTTTTCGTGTTTTTGTTGAATTCATATAGGGGTTGTTTTAGTTCTAAGGGTTGCACTTCAGTAGCGTGTTCAGACATCTTTGATGATTTCAAGAATCGTTAAAACATGTTAATTAAAGAATTTAAAAAATTTTTAATTTTCTAGATGTTTAATTTTTCTGGATGATTTCTGATTAGATAATTTTAAAATTATTATCGAAGAAAAATTTTCTGACGCAAGTTAATTTGAACATATAGGTAGTTTTAAAAAAAATATTAATATAAGAAAATTAGAAATTTTACTATTACAAAACATTGTTTTTAAAAATACGTAAATTTGAAATTTAGAAATAGAAATATATGTATATTAATAAGAACTATAAAAAAAACTAACAATACCAAAAAAAATAAAATATTTTTAATGTAAAATACATGTCATTAAGATATATCTTTCTTTTATTTTTCAATTCGCATGCATTTTATATAAAAAAATATTTAAAAATTTTCCTCAAAATTTTATTAGTTTCTTAAATTTCTTAGGTCTCTTAAAATTTGTCGTTCAAAATGATAAATGGTAAAATTTACAATTATTTTTAATAAAATAAATAAATTTTCTTAATAAACAAATCTTTTAACTTTATTTTGCATATTTTTTTGACAGTAATTATCCAGCGTGTTCAAAACCTAAATTGTGTTTATTTTATCTTAAGAATTACATTTTTTATGAATTAATTTAAGAAGAAATTGCATTTTCTTTTTACATTTTTTTAATATGCCAAAAATTTTTAATGTGGATTTTATAGATAAGATCGTTAACTAAAATTCAGTTACAGAATTGAGACGAAGAATTAAGTAGAAGGGAAATAGCAACTGTTCTGCTGCGTGATGTTCGGTTGACCCCACAAGACCATTACGTTAAATGACAACAAATTTTCTCTTAAAATAATTTGTTTTTAAAATTGTATATAAATGAATCTTTAAAATTTGATTAAATCAATTTTAATTTATAATTTTATTAAAAAGTTGTTTTTAACAATCAATAAAATTATAAATTCATTGATTTCATCAAATTTTCAATGATTCCTTTGTACAATTTTAAAAATAAATTATTTTAAGAGAAAATTTGATGTCAAATAATAATTAACATTTTGTGTTTTTTTTTAAGTTAGTGAATGCAATCGTACTTTTTATTCAATTTATCTGAGTACAAAACTCTCCAGAAAAAATATGACAATAATTAATATTCTACATTAAAAATACCTATTAATTTTTATTTATATAAATAAATAATAATTACTGTCATTATTCAATTATTATATAGGTAATTAATCTATAATTATTTTTAAAAAAACTTTTTTAGTAATTTAAAGTTCAGAAAGAGTTTGTAGTAGATTTACGAAAAAAGTTTTACTGCTTTAAAATTTATTCGTTTTGAAAAATATGTCTATTTCAAGAGAACAATAAATAAAATATCTAAGAAGCTTTTAATGTTTTAAGGAAAATGTTTAAATATTTTTTTATGTCTAATGCACGCGAATCTTAATATCGCATGCATTTTACATAACAAATATTATTTTATTTTTCTTACATTTGATGATTTTTTATATTTCTTATTTATGTTTCTAGTTTTAAATTTAAAATTTACGTATTCTTGAAAACAATGTTTTAAAGTAGTAAAATTTCTACTTTTTTTAAATATCAACATTTTACAAAATTATTAAAATCAAATTTGATTTTTGTCGCTTTATTTTACTACCTACCCGTGTGGAAAAGTGATGCGGGCCCCCAGCAGGGGCCCTTATGGATCGCCCTCATGCCATGAGGGCCGCATATGGATGATCCATAGGGGCCCCTCATGGAAACGACATGCTCATCGATGAGGGCGCCCGCATGGGCGATCCATGAGGGTGCCCCTACGGGCGCCCTTATGGGCCCTCACGTTTGCCCTCAAGTTTGCCATAATGTTTTTTAATCAATAATATTAATAATAAAAGTTAATTAATAATAAACAAGCTTAAGTTATGAATAAATAACATATTTATTTAATAATTATTCAATTTTAAATTAAATTCTTACTCAAATTGAATTTATTAATTAACGTTCTAATTAATTAACTGTCGGATATAATTAAAAGTAATAATAAATTAATTAATTAAAAAATTAAAAAATATGTAATTTATGCATACTATTAACGGATATTTTCATTTTTCAATTAATTCATACATAGAATTAATGATTAAACGCAAACCTGAGAAATAAATAAATCTAACGCATGGGGGGAATCGAACCTACGACCTACGGACTATGAGTCTAACGCTTTACCAACTACGCTACGCACGCTACTTCAAAACGAATGCTAACTTCTTGATGCTATTTAAACTTGAAAAATACCTAACAAAGAAAAGTGCTTAACATCATTTAGTTAAAGTTAAGATATTAAATTATATTTTCCAATCAAATGCAATTTATAAAATATAATTAATTATATGCTTTATGATTATTATCATGAATCATCTCAGGTGAATTTTCAAAAAAGTGTAAATATATTTTTATTAAAAATGCGTTTTTCGTTGTTTTGAATCATTGGAAACATTCATTTTTTGTTGATGA